GACAACCCGTGACAATATGTGTTTTGTATTGCTGTTACACAGCACAAAACGCATAAAAAAGGAAAAGATAATATTAATATTTTTGATAATTACGCTTATTATATAATTCTCGGTTTTACTTTTCTTCAAAAGCAAAGATTGTTGAAATGAGGAGAGAAGATGAACTCCACTGATGAAAATGACATAACAGTTGGTTTAAAGTGGCAGCACAGTTGCAGACTGCGCAAATTGGAAAATGCTTCAAGTAGACATGACGATATATCGGAACCCGAACGTCCAGAAAACTTTAATTTTGCGGAAGCGGCGGTGCTTATTCAAGGTTCCACAATGGTGTACGGCAAGAAGGTGGAGTATTTACACGGACTTGCGCTTGAATTCTACGAGCAGCTGAAGAACAAGAAGACTTCTCGAAAAGCTGCTGCTGCAGGCGACGATACTGAGCATGGTGAATTTTACTACAGTGTTCATTTACATATTTGGATTTTTTGACAAACGCTCGAGCAATATTTCCACTTTTTAGTGAACTGGAGATTTGCATTCTTATGCGATTTTGCTTATATGCAAATGCAAAAACGCATATTGTTAAATTTATCAGATTCAATCGTCAGGCATCCGTGGTTATCGCGTACGGCCTCGCGAAATTTCAATATTACTTTTTTAAATGCTTAAAATAATATAGAATTCTTTTATTCCCATTCGCAGTATTGCTATTGAAAATCGCAGTACAGATGCTGGTGGTGGTGATGATGACGATGTGCAGAGCGATCTGCATGAAGTTGTCGAGAGTCTCGATGATCCCTGCGAACTTATCGACTTCACAAACTACAAGCCCGCAAACTGGAGGAGTCTGCAACTCAAAAATCCTCAAAAATCTCCTTCATTTTTGCCACAGGTTTGCTTTGGGCTTGATATAATGCTTTGTTCGTAATCTTTACATTACATCTTTTCTTTTTCGGCGGCTGTTGTAGCAAATGCTGCACCTCCTGATAGTTAGGTATAATTCTGACCATTTTCTTGCTCCTTCTGTCCTGAATGTGATGGATGGATGATAATCTTTCCATCGCTTTTGTGGCTCATGAAAAACTCGAACTTACTGGCTGAGCTCTAGAGTTAATGTCGGCGTGAGGGGGGGGGGGGGGGGG